CATGGTAGGCAATTTTAGTATCTTCAATGAAGTAAACAAGATTGTAAATGTTATGCTAAAATTGCTTTATTATAGAACTTAACAAACGTGACTAAGAAGAGACATTCCTCATTCAACACACGATGCTTGAACACAAGAAGACGCAAAAGTTTATTTTGGAAGAACTTAAATATTTATAATTATTTGTTGGGAATGAATTAATTCAAATGAAGAAGCTTTTAAGTCTGTTCAAGCACAATATACTTCACTATATTAAGAAGTGTACAGTAGCTCGAACAAGGGACAATGTGACCTCATATCCCGATACTCACATTTTGCCACACAAGGCAGAATATAGGAAGTCCCCAGATTATAATTAAGTTCTGTTCCAAAATTTCGTTTGTACAGAACTCTGTACTCAATTTCTTACACACACAGTCTTATAAGTACAGTAGTAGTTGCATTTTTAAGCCAGACCACAAAACCCTATTTAAGCCATAATTAAAATGGAGCAATTGAGTACTGTACTATAGTAATTCCATGCTAACTTGGCCCATATGCCACGCCCCTTTTCTATACTAATACAAGTACTGTAGCTGATTGGTTCATAGAAAATTCAAACTAAATGTGTTCACAATTGGTAAGCAGACCTGTTATTATCTAAGGTATTGTTAAATATCTGAACTATCAAAATGCAAATGATTTCAAGGCATTAGCACTTCAGAGAGGATGTTAGAAGATTTTAAATATTTATCATAAAAGTTCGATACATATAAACGCAGTCCGGGGGGAGGCAAAATGCTCAGGGGAACCAATCGGCTATTTGTAGCTAAAGACGAGGGGCAGGGCTTACGGGCCAGCTTAGCATGGAAAGGGTATAGTAGGTAATACTGTTGTAATACAACAACAAAAATAACAAAATATTTATATTAATGAAGGAGAATTACATTTTAAATTACATCTGATTATTGTTCCAATCATCAAACAATTTAAACCAAACAGGTAGGCAATCTGTATTACTTTCATCCTCTTCTCTACTTAATGGCTAATCAGCCCCTTGGGCAATCGGTTATGACTGTCAGCAAGTACTGGACACTTCTCTTTCCTCTGAATGCTTTATGATAAAAAATTTCACCTTTTAACCCCTTCACTACAGGGATGCCACATCTATTTTATTTGGTCAACACCAACAATTTTAATCAGCTCGGAGAGGACCGTATACACATGGGGTTAATTTTTTTTCTTTTCTTTGATACAGGATTATCACAAGCACCAATCTTATCCATGTTTTATGAAACAAAATTATATATGTATGGGCAGAGACATACATATGCAAGCTAGGTCTATCAAAGTAGGTTTGTGTGTGATTTGTACATCTGGCAGCTGGACTTATCGGTTACCCTACACCACGCCCACTCGTGGAAGTAGCACATGTCTATATCTTTCTTCTTTTTGTTTTATTAGCCTGATTTATTATTTTACTTTTATTTGGTTATATTGTACTTGTATTAAAAACAAAAATGGCAATCAGAAATGTAAAATCTTCAAACCAATATTTAATATGGGGATTCATTTTATATAAAATTATAACACATTCTAGATGTATTCATTTCTTTTAACTTTGTAAAAATGGAATTTTTATATTATTCAGAATTTATTTTGTCAATTTAAAATTTTCAAGACTACATGGAGATTCATTTACCGGTATATGCGTGGGGGACTGGGTGTTCTGAAGTTAGACTCTCATAATGAAGGGACTTCCTGCAACATGCCCAATATGGCCCATGCCACCACTCAAAATACCAAATAGAAAGTGACAAATTCATTACATTTGTCAATCAGTCCTTAGAACATGATACTTCTCCTTACATCACCATCTTTCAAGTATAAAGAAAACATAGCACTAGGCATTAATGGGTTAAAAAAAACTTGTATACTTTACCGGCAAACAATTTTTTTTGTCTTTTTGCTCTCCCAGGACTATTCTCACTAAAATGTAAGGTGGCCAGATTGAAGAACAAACAGTCAAAGCCTTTTTTTTTTCATTCTTAATGTTATATTTGTTAGATTTAGGGCCCAAAAGGCCCCAAATAGTTATCAAGTTTACTGGTGCAGACCTCAAGTTTATATTTGCTGTATGACTAATTTTATTTGCTAAGAAACAATATTTCTCTGAATGACTTATAAGAAGTACTGCATCTTAACAGGGCACTTGCTTGACTGTTTTTACCCCTTGCCTCACAACCTCTGGGTTAACAAAGAATTAAATTGGTTTGGTGTTATCTGTTATGTCACAATCCTTTGATCTGAAACTGATGCCACTGGTTGGTATTCAAATTTATGAAAGGGAAAAAATGTCAGTGTCAATTATAGTGAATCTTACTCTTTGAGGAGAATGGCTTATCATTCTTAAGGGTATAACAATCATCTTTGAGATGTTATATCATCCAAGAGAACTTTTGTAGTCAAAGAGTTAATCCCTCAGCCTTAAGTAATATAAACATTATTCTAAAATTTATAAACCATTGTCCTCAGAGGATTAATTCCTTCCTGAACTCTAGAAAGAACAGCAGAATATTTTGAAGTTTGACCTCAGCCTTGTACTATATTCACATCCTGTCAAATGATGACTAACATCTTTTTCACACTGTTATTTAGTACATTATAAAATTACTCAAATAATAACCATGCAGCCCAAGACACATCAGTAACAATTAATATGTCGTGGTGCATCACCAGTGTATTTGACATTCTTTTGCGGCCATTAATTTTAACATTATCATAAATGATAAGATAAAACTTTCATTAATATTTATAAATTTATCAAAAGCAACCAGAATACACAACAATCACTACAGGTTTTCTGAATTTAATAACCACCTTAACAATAATTCAACAATGAAAATCTCTACCAATTCAAAATGGTTGCCAGGTCAGATGGGTTTCTCTTCATAGGCCCAAACCTAACCACTAGGACTTGGACTGAGTCTGAAGCCTAATGGTTGCACTTTGTGTTGGGGCCTATTATGAATGGAACCCAAGTGACTTGTCACCTTTGAAGCAGCACCTCAACAATACACCGAGAAATGCCACTCAATTTGATTATTATTACTTAATGTATTGACCACACATAGATTCTCACTCGGCTACCCATGCAATACATATTTTCACCTTGCAGATGTTGAGAAAAATTTATACACTATTAACCACTTAACTCTATTACCAAAATCTGCAGTCACAAAAAAAAAAAAAAAAATTCTGCTACAAAAAAATATCTTACCATTCTGCTATCCACTCAAGCTTACTCTTGCTGAAACCATCATAGTATGGAATGTATCACATGTTAGTACAGTATTAATTATGCTGCAGGGGGGGTTTGTTATCACTAACTATTTATAGGCACTAGTTTAGTACCTGGTAGCTCATTCTGGCCAATAGTTATGTCTCTTATCCTGCAATTACAGGTTGTACCTCTCTAGTCCGGCAACCTCAGGACCTGACCGGTGCCGGACCATGGAAATTCACCCTTTTCCTGGATATATAGTGACTTGTGCTTATGCCTGGAAGCACTAGCACCACTTTCTCTGCGTCATGGTCTCTTTGAAGACATATTGAAGGGTTAAATGTCGTATAGTAGCTTCTCAAATTTCGCGAGTTTTTAATTTTTAACGTATTTTATTGGAACACACAAAAAATAAATAAATAAAAATTTTGACGGGGAAACTTGAATTTCAACGGGTTTGAACGGCCCACCAACGTGCAGACGACGTGCATAATCGTGTAAACAGTGTCATTTCTCTTATGTACAAAAGATTCATTATTGTTTATTACTGAATGTCTTTTTTATTGAATTAATGTTTATGTGTGCAAAATGAGCAATACAATTCATTAATAATACGTAGAATATTAAAACACACGAGGAAATGACACAGCATTGTTTTCGTTGATTACAAAACCAGTGACTGACTGGTTCTACATATAAAACTGAAGAAAATAAGACCTTGTTGTAGCTGCAGTAAAATTAATATGGTTGTTTTAAGTAATGTTATTTAATGTTAAAAATGGAACAATAGAAGTAGCTAACGATAATGGTAAAGAAAAAGAGAGATCGCATATGTAAGTGCGCATGCGCACACGTGAAAACATATCGTCATTACTTTACATAAGAATATGAAAGCAACACTTATTTACTGTTCATATATATTTTAATTAATGTTTCTGAATTTGTTTTTATTGAATTACTGTAATGTACGTGTGTGCAAAATTAACAATACAATTTATTAATAATACGTGGAATATTAGAGGAGACGAGACGGCTGCCGGCATTGTTTATGTTAAAGCTTACGAAACCAGTGACTGATTGGTTCTACATATAAAACTGAAGAAAATAAGACCCTGAGTTTAGCTGTAGTAAAATTAATGTAAAAAATGAATATGGTTGCTTGAAGTACCTGTAATGTTATTTAATGTTAATAAATGGAACAATATAAGTAGCTAACCATTAATGGTAAAAAAAAAAAGTGAGACTGCTCGTATGTAAGTGCGCACATGTGAAAATATATCGTCATTACTCTACATAAGAATATGAAAGCAACACTTATTTACTGCTCATATATATTGAAGGGTTAAATGTTGTACTCTGTATAGACAAGCAAAAAGAGAGAGAGATAGCAGCCGAACTGCCGGATGTAAACAAACCTTAATTTCCCGCAGCTTTTTTTTTAAGGGGATTAGCCCACCCGGGCATAGGTCACTGACCCACATTGGGGCCTGAGGGGCAAAAATTTAATACTCCTGTAATAATAATAATAATTCAGATAAGTAAAAAAAAAAAAAAAAAAAAAAAAAAAAAAAAAAAAAAAAAAAATTAAAAAAACTGCCTATCTACCTATTGGACAAACTAAAATCGTTCCGGATCACGGGAGTTTCCGGACCACAGAATGCCGGACTAGAGAGGTACAACCTGTACCAGTTTCATGTATGTAATTAAAATTTGTCTTGGTCAATAACAGTCTTGATTATAACAGCTAAAAGTCCTTTTATATATGTATATATTCAAAATTAGACACTTATTCTATATTGTATCAAGTTTTGGAAGGGCATTCATTTATTGTCAGTGGTGTGGACAAAGTCTGTCACTGATACATCAAAATCTAGGACTAGCTAACCCATCACACATGAGGGTCACTAACCCATAAATTACCATGAACAGAGTATAGGGTGAATGCTCAAGCTTTCTTATCATCTACAATAGTTTTGTCTGGCTTAAAGCTTAATTGAGTCTTCATGCATAGCCATCACTCTTCAGGCACAAAATGAGACATACTATGTTTAATGTATGTATGCAATGTATGTATGCAATGTATGTATGTATGCAATGTATGTATGTATGTATGTATGTATGTATGTATGTATGTATGTATGTATGTATGTATGTGTGTGTGTGTGTGTGTGTAAACATATGTATGAAAATGGTTGAGTACACCAGTATATACCTCCTCATGGGTATACTGATTTAAAAGGATTGACTTCATAATAAAGGTGCATACACACAATTTGGGGGATCAATATTTACACACAAAATAACTGCACCAGGGGCCCAGAAATGTTAACCCAAAATTGTCAAAAGTATTGTTAATTTGGAAATTTTCCAGGAGCAACTTACCTTAAACTCTGAAAAGAATCTATCACACAAAAATCATTGCACAGTACCTACATGTAACAGACAATGACATTGACAGAAATTGCCAAACTTTAATATGATCCCATTTACAAATGTATACTGATTAGCTGCAACATTGGATATTTTTTTCCTACAGGCATGCAGTTGTCTCTACTTCACAGTCATGGATTACTACGAGTCCAAAATTATGTTTCCTAGTTTCTTTGACTAGCTGCCCATTCCTCCCTTATGGCCTGCCCTTCTTGAATAGTGTATCCAGGCCAATCTACAGTATGTATCACCTTTACAGTTCTTACTTCACTATTATACTACAATCATGTTAGGAATAAGAGGTGAGAGACACTAGCCAGGAGGGTTATGATGCACTGACTACCTTGTTTTCCTCATTGATATAATTAAGTGATAACTTTCAAAGTACACACCAAAATTGTTTCTTTGCTCTTAATCATAAGAATGGCTTCTTTTTCATTTGGTCAGAAAAATACTGATTTTCTTATTATTTCAGCATATTTGTAATGTTCTAAACCGTTATACTATAGAGAAGGACTTAATACAAATCTGAACATACTGCTTGTCTGTTTTATATAGCTCCTCTGCAGACTAGAGGGTTACAGCACACACAGGGTTTGTTACTGCAGTGTCATGAGATGAGTAAGGCTACTCCAGGTCTAATCATCCTTTGTACCTCGTACTTCCCCAATCTGTCTTTGCTGCAAATAGAAGAAAAAAATTAATACAATAAAAAGTATGAAAACCAAACTAATACATGCAGAACCTGTCCACTGCTGGGAGCTTTTCCACAGATGATTTTATCATTTAGTGCCCTTGTCATCTAATGTAATGAAAGGTTATCTTTCTGATTGCCAAATATACTTCCTAACAAACAAGAAATAATGCTAAAATAAGAGATAAAACTTTTGTTCATTGTAGAATTACATAAATAATAAAATTACCAAATAAATAAAAATAAAAACCTTATATTTGTACAGTTTTCTTCTCACAGTCAAGATCATATTACTGTATTACATGTTATGAGTGATCCCAAACAGACAGAGTGGGAGGAGGAATGGATTAAGCTAGAAGACCTTGTATATAAGATGATGACAGTAAACTTGCCTGATCAAGTTCCTCCTTTGTTTTGTCCTCCAATCGTCGAATATCATCCATGTTCATGCCATACCACCGATCCATCCAACAAAACACTTGCCTGAGGAAAAAAAGAGAAAAACACTTCTAGTCCCCTTTAACAAGGATTTCAATAATCTGCAACATCTAGCCCTCTCTGAACAAAGCCCTTAATCACTCATAGCAGCCTCTAACTTTATATTACAGTATAGTCTGGATTTACGCGGTTTTTGTTTACGCGTTTGGTCATTTACGCAGTGCCTTGCCAGAATGAAAAAGTTTTAATTACGTGGTAAATTTGGTCATTTACGCGGAGAACAGCTGGAGAGGTCCAGACCACCGCGCCATTTTTTACCCACGCGGTCCATTCTTGACCATATGTGGGAAGCGGTGCGGTGAGTGGTGCGCTTTAGGCCGCCCAAACCGTTATCGCTGACGTCATATGACATATCGGACTGTGATTGGGCCACGCATCCTTACCACCCACGCATTCCCTCCACCGTTAGCTGTGATTGGTCTAATGTAACATGACGTGCCCTGCCACCAGAGGGTAGAAGTCACTGACCTAGCCGGGCCTGTCTCATTGTTCTCAGTCCGAGTATACATTTCTCTCTTGTGCCCGCTATTCCCCTCACAATGGCTTCCGCGGGACCCCCACCACCTGAGAAAAACCTTGAATTACCTGGACCAAGCCATGATAATGTGAAGGAAATCATCGAGTTGGGGGAGAAAATTAAGCTCGTCCTTGACAACGACTCAGTCAAGCATCGGTATGAAGTGTCTAATAACCATCTGTCGAAATTTATGGAGCCGTATATCCAGATCTATCTCGACAACATCAATGCTAGTCGTCAACGTAGTATTGAGGACTTCCTCGCCCGCAACCCACCACAACCACAGCCAGCCCAAGTCAGTGATAGTGAGGATATGGACTTTGAGGGGTTTGTCTGGTAGGCCCCCCAAACCTCTGCGAGTTGTGAAAGTGATTCACCGGAGGGCAACTAATCTGCCCTCTGCCTCGGAACCAGCCGCCATCCACGTGTGCCAACCCAGCTTTTCTACTAATGTAAGTGTTAAAAATCCTAATATTATTGATATTTCTCGGAATTATTAATTGTGCTTGCATACCATCATAAAATTAAGATGTTATTTTTACTACAACGTACGTATTGTGTCGGAAAAAGTGGAGTTTGGGGGTCGGCCCAGTCTCTATTTCAATTAATCCCATATGTTCTGTTATTTCATTTACGCGTTTCTCGTTTTACGCGGACCTCCCCGGGTTCAATTGACTGCGTAAATGCAGACTATACTGTATACTCTTGGGAGAATTTATAATCTATATCCAGAATTAATCCTTTGTAATTTCTGCTGGATCCTTATCAAACATTACCTTTAATGGTAGTCTTCCTATTAAAAAAAAGAAAAAAATATATTTATATTTAAGTAGTTTCCTTCCCTGTCCTCCCTTCTTACTCCTAGTACCTGCAGACCCTTGATGACCAAGCTCCAAGTCATTAATACAATATTGATAAAGTTTAACTTTGTCAACAATCCATCAATACACAATTACAATCAGTCTAATAAGCAGATAGCTATCTCCTTTCTCTGACTACCAAACAAATCTTTCCCAAACCTATATTCTTTACATTCATACAATTACACAACGAACATAACAGTACTAATTCATTTTAGGTCATCATCAACCACCTTACCTATGAAAGTTTGTAAATAGTCTGAGCTCAACATCCTGGATTATCTTTTCTATACGTGACTGTAGCCCAAACCACTTGAACTCACATGTCACCAACTTGTAGCAAGTCATCACTGGATCACACTGAAGGTAGAGAAAGATGAAAATATGTACTGTATTTTTCCTAAATCCTTCGAGCCTATTCCCACTATAGTACAAGGTGGCCAAAATCCAAAGGAATAATGTCTATCCTCAATATGTCCTTCGTTCATTCTGAGAATGAGGCGAGAGAATACTGTTAGCAATTCCAACCATCTTCTACTATAGCAGTTGATTTATGCCACAATTAAATTTTCAGATCTGTTTCTCAGATAATATTCAATTTGCAATTATAATACACTACGATAATAATTCATAAGTTTTGAGAAGGCTGACATTCCAAATTTTAAACAATTTTGGAGTAAAAACCGAGGTGAATTTTTATAACACCTGACTAAGGACAGTAACATAATATACAGTAAGATCTTGTATTGTGCAAGTAATATAGACTGGGAAAAATTGCACCAAATTCAAATTCGCCAAATGCAAATACATAAACTAATGGGAAAAATAACAATATACACTGGCGACTTTACATCAACCTCCGATTTTCCCATTTATAACCTCCAAATGATACAAATTCTGCCTTTATTGACCTGATTGTGCTTTCTGGAAACTAGTTTTTAGGCCTTCCTCAAGTAACTTAATCACACGCTGGTTATCCTGCATCGAGTACTTGGCAAACTTAACTCCCTTATGATAGTCCCGTTTCTCCCTTTCCTTATTTGGCCGCTTAGATGAATCTGTCCCACCCCCACCAGCACCAGTAGAACCCCCAGTAGAGGTAGAGGCCATTATCCTGACTTGACAGGTGGTAGCACCACCCAAAAAAGCACACAATAGCAGCCCGGACGGCAATTCGATCACCAGAAAGCTTCTTAGAAACATTCTTCTTACCTTGTCTTTCCATATTCATTGCTAACACAACAAAATTGGAGAAAAAGCAAAAATCACAGAGAAATCGACAGAAACAGCGTGATTCAACCGATCACGTGATGTAAACAGAGCGCGCTGGTGTAAACCGTTATTAGTCCTCACTGCGAAACATTCTTTTTACTTATTCTTTTCATACAGTGCCGTATATCTCGGCCTATAAGACGGAATTTGAACCTTAAAAAAATCAACCCAAAGTTAGGGGGTTGTCTTAAGCACCAGATATAAAATTCTTACCTCTTAAATATTGCAGTTTAGCGTGTCAAGAGTGGTGATGGAAACATGGTAAACCACTCACAAGGTCCTACCACTACGGTAATATGGGTAACAGCTAAGTTTGCGAAATGAAATCGCGCAAAATATGAGATCTTACTGTACATAAGGGAGATATTCCCACCCATACAGTGGTCCCCCAAATTCTCATGATTCTTATATTTATGAATCAAATTATCATACTACTGTACAAGTATACCATTACCTGTACAGTGGTCCCTCGATTAACGAAGACAGTTGGTTCCACAGAGTCATTCGTTAACCGCAAATTTCGTTAACTGAATCTATTATTTCAATGGGATATTGGGTAATTGGTTCGAACTCACAGAAAAAGTACATACAAAGTACTGTATACCGATAATAGAATTAAAAAACATTAAATATAAACTAAATATAGTATTGTACTGTACAGTATACTGTATAATAATAAATAAAAAACAATAGAATACTACATTTTTACTTACTTTGATGTGTGAGTGTTGAATTCCCGGCAGCTTTGTTTACATATGAAACGGCTGATTGTAGAGGCAGTCGATGATGACATGCCATATTCTTTACAGAGTGCATTGGTTCTAATGCCTTCTTCATGTTTCATAATAATTTCTGCACTGTACATTATCAATATGTTAAGTAAATTTCAGAATGACCAATAATTTTAATACAGTACAGGTAGTTCTGCTATAACGCGATAATTGTGTTCTTGTAAAATATCGTGTTATAGAAAATCGCGTAATAGAAATAACAGGGCTTATGGAGAAAATAGGGTTAGGTGCAGATTACTCGAAATCGAAAAAATTTAGTATTTAGCCTAACACAAAGGATAGCACAGTCTAAATAAATGTTACATTCATATCTAATAATGAAATCATACAGTAAATTTAACACTTTACCTTGAAAAAATATGAATGTAACTTGATGGGGGAGAAGGGTGATTTTGAGGTTGATAACATTGAGCTTCTCTTCAAGTGTTATATCCTTTCTTTTACGATAATCACCGGGAATTCTATCATCAGAGCGCTTTTTGGAGATATTCTTCTTTACCATATTCACAGTTAATACCACAAAATTGGAGAAATAGTAAGCAAAAATCGCGTTATAGCAAACAAGCGTTCGCGTTATACAAATATTGTTCCGAATTCATAAATCGCGTTAGAGCAAATTCGCGTTATCAAAACACGCGTTATAGCAGAACTCCCTGTATAAAAATGCAAAAATATTCATGGGCACAACTTTCTTAATATTTACTCCACTGGAAACGAATGTAAACATAGAACCAATTACTGTATTGGCGGACTAGCCGATCAGCTGATTCACACAACAAAGCGTGTTTCTCGTAAGGCTTTCGTTAATCGAAGTTTTGTTCGTTAATGGAACTGAAAATCCTTATGGGAGCTAATTCGTTAACCGAAATTTTGTTAATTGGACCGTTCATTAATCGAGGGACCACTGTACAGTACTATATAAATTTTGACAAATATTTCCAACCACTGGGTTCACAAGTTTGTAATGTATAGTGTGTGTGTGTGTGTAAGCAAACTCTACCACAGATTGTTTGGAGTACTTACCCCAAGCTGTCAGGGTGTGTAATGGTCAAGTGCTCCTTAGCAATCCTTGGTTGTTCACATTGTCAAACAACAGGGAGTTGTAATCTAATGTGTAGTAACAGGGTATCCTATCTTCACTGCATTTTAACACAATATCTGCCTTGTCTTTCAAAAAGTTCATCTTTTCCTGGACAGAAGTGTAAAGCTGGTGCACTTAGAAGCTCAAGTAATAAGTGAAAGAAAAGGAATCCTCATTTAACACCCAAGAAAAGGTTGAAATGTTAAATAACATGACCAAGACTGTTAACAGCAATGTTCCATCATTGTTTATCAAGCTTATTGCAACCAATGGGAATAAATCTTGCATATATGCAGTGGCTTAATGGTAAATTAAATCTATACTTTCTGGGGGTTTTGACAAAAATATATAAGCCCAACCCCATAACCGCAATTTCCCACCAGAAGTTCAAATTTTATTTAATATGATACATTTCAAAGTTCTAATAAATATAATCTCAGGGGGTTATGGAAGCCACCTTCCTTGATGCCTGGGCATCATATCACTAGCTAGGTAGGGATGGACCCATTTCCTGTCTACCAAGATTGCCTGTCTTCCCCCGCTCGATTTTTTTTCTTTGGGGTTCTATGAAGTCCAAAGTGTACTCTACAAAGGTGCAGGATATTTTTCACCTGAAAGAGAGCATCACAGCAACAGTGACCTCCATAACTCCTGTGATGTTAAAAAATGTGTGGAGGGAAATTTATTACCATTGTGACTTAGTCTGTGCTATGAATGGTGTACATATTTAATGTCTACCCTAACATACCCTAATGATATGTACCCATACACCAAATGAAATGCAAGCATACTGATCATGAACTATGTGAATGCAGTACAGTATTCCTTTGTTTGCATTATTAAAGACAAATTTATAAGGCATCAAGGTTTTTTCATTTCAATGTGGACACCCTGTACAGTATTTCCTTTCCAAAACAGCCCCAAGATTTCTAGTTTATCACTGTTGTTTCACTCTTCACTAGCACCTCAATCCCCAAATTCCACTGTCATGTTCTCAAGTTATTCAAACACAACCATGCCCCTTACTTCTTGTGTGTCATTTCTCCAATACTTCCATTCTTGCTGGTTTTTCTACTCCTCTCATAGACAAATGCAATACAGGGGGTCCCCGACTTACGAACACCCGCAGATACAATCAGGGTTAAACTTGAAATTTACAGTACAGTATTTTATTTACATGATGACTTATTTTTACTTTCACTTACTGTATCTTGTCATTCTATTTCTTCTTTTCTCTTAAAGCAAGTGATTTTAGATGTATATTAGGACTTATGCTATGATATAGTGGGATTTTAAACATTGTTCTGAAAGTACGGTATGCACATAGCATGTGTTCCGACTTACATACAAATCCGACTTAAGAACGGAACCTGTTCGTAACCCGGGGACCCCCTGTATATCCAAACTTATGAGCTGAGAAGTATACAATACTGTACCTTCTTCCACCACTGTGGTCCTTGCAAAGGACCCCGACCAGTTTTCTGTGATTTAAACTTAGTTGGATCTTCACTAGGTTTATAGTCAGATGTCTTGACAGGATCGTTGGCGATATCAATAGTCACTACGTCCCGTATCTTGAGCTTTTCTCCTGTCAGTCTGTGAGCCTACAGTGAATAATGTCAAGTTAAAACAGTTCAACTCAAACAATATACATTAACATATTCATCTTAAAGTCTTCTAAAAATTAATTTAATGCACCGAGTACAGAAATGATAACCTGAGTCTATTACTTTAAAATTAGAGACATAAAATCATTATGAAAAAAAAACAAAAAAATTATTGGTACTTAAAAACCCTAAACTTTATACAGCATGAAACTGTTATAATCATAATCGCTGAATCTCAGGTTAATGATACTAAGAAATAAGAACTAGTAATTATACCCTCACCACTTAACAGCAGATTATGACTTACAGGAAATTTCTAACTAGTTAAGGATAAAGCTATAAAGCATTTCATATTACACACAAACTAACTACTGTACAGTCTAATAGTTACGTGAAATGTACGATACTGGTTAATTTTCAGTGTATGACTTGAAAAAAGTGAAAGGGACCTTTTTGATTTTTATGCATAAATTCTCTTCATATACTAATATGATTTTTAGTGAAACAATGAAGGTTTCTTCGAATTTTTTCTTTTCTTTTTTCATTATATACTGTAGTTAATATGCATCTATCTGACTCCTGCTCACTACTATGTATTCAACAAGCCACCTGAACTGAACTGGCCTTCATGATGATTAATTAGATGCGCTCCATTCCTAATAGGCACCAACTTTTACTACTCTTCACTCACCATTTTGAGTGAAGCCCCAATTTTAATAGTGAGGAGGGAACTGGCTTTCATCTTAAAAATTTTGTTCTTCTAATCACAGGCTACTCAAAAATCCAACTCATCAGCTAGTGAATGGATAAATATACTGTCCACAAGACTTTGAGTAGCTGCCACGGTACCATGCAGCCACTCCTCGACTTACGACCACCCCAGTCGTACCAAAATTTTTTCTAATTATGTATTTTCGAGTCCCGAGGTAAGTGATGACGCTGTGTACTGACAAAATTCTCGTTTGTAATTCCCTTTAAAATGGCTGGCAAGCTTAAAGGTGAGAGTTTTGTGGTGCTGAGACGAAAAAGAGACCCATTTTAGATTTTCTATGTACTATTTTCGCATTTTCGACTTACGACCTGGATTTGGGTCCCTAACCCCGTCGTAAGTCGGGGACTGCCTGTATTTCAAGTACAGTTTATGTTGATATGATTCAAACTGAGATATGACTCATTGTACATATAAATTAATCTATTTGTAATCAAATAATAATAAAAATGCAAATATGTAAATAATTTTTTATTAACCCTTACGCCCCGGGTGACGTACTAAGCTGTGCGCCATTTACCACCAGTGTTTAAATGCCCAGCATGGGTTATCAGGTTCCAGTGTGACTATTTGCCTGTCACACCACACGCTCTGCCACAGGGAACCTTCCTGAACGTAATTACCTACTTTTGTTTGTCCATTTTATCATGTTGTATTAAAGTAATATTGCTGAAAGAAGTGTAGTTGTATTGTAATGTAGTATTACTGGAAAATAATGCCATGATTATGTTATAAATGTATTTATTTGTGGAATTATTATTTTATTCATTACTTGCTCTACCAAACACAAAGCCAGCCAGACAGCCTGGCGACCGACTGCGTTAGTGTTGCCAAGCACTTTTTATGAAAAATAATGCAAATAAAATGCTCTAAATGAATTATTAATAGCAAATAAGTATTATGACCAGTAAATATATGCATTACTGGCCATCACAGACACAAAGGCAAGCTAAAAATAGCTGGTAAGTGCATAGGTGACCACAGGGTCAGCTATCAAAACAACAATGTCCCCTTATATCCCTTCATCGTCCCTCCCTCAGCGCTGCCAGGCAAGTTTCTAGACGGTCAATATATAGTTTTTATTTTTTTTTAGTTTTATTGTTTAATCATATAAAAAAAAAGGTTAAAAATTATTTTTGGAAATGTTTTGATTTTTCTCGATTTACCCCCACGTGGGGGGTACTACTAGCGGCACCCTAACTTGGGCTTAAGGGTTAAATATTCATTGCAAACTTCTAGTAAAAATTTTAATTTCTCATAAAATTCTAAGCCAAATTTAAATTTGAATTAAACACAAGAGGGGCGATTACCACACAGTAAGGTTCTGCTGAATGAGCAACTGAAAACGAAAATCCGGTTTAATAGGATTAGTGTCTTAGGGTATAATAACTCATGAACAAACTTGTATTGGATTTAACGAGCATATTACTAGTGAACCAGCTCACATTATCATTCATGGGGTGAGGTGAATCATACTTTGTTATTAGTTGAGTAGCCAGCCAGGCTCAAATACTAACAGACTTGTTTTCTATACAGTACTGTACTGTGCTCTGAGGCAAAGTCGGTTGCAGGCTGACCCAACCTAGCTAGCCAGTGAGCCTACACAACGTGGTAGCTTTTTTTCATCATCACGTTCTCTGCATCGTGGAGCATGCATCGCCCTTGCTTACTCATTTCTCATATCTTTATGACCAACCCCAACAACGAGTTCAAAGAACACAATAGCACTACGAGCAGTGCAACTCCAAAGATGAAGAGGAACACCATCACCCTAGAGATGAAACTGGATGTACAGTCACCCAAAAAAGTCCTGTCGCGAACCACGATTCAGACTCGTGAACCCGAAGCAGTAGACACTGATACATTATTCTGTCCATAAATGCTTCGGATTCAAGAGTCTGAATCTTGGGGTTCATGGTTCGCGACAGGACCTTTTTGGGTGACTGTACCATGAAGACTGAATCTGCTGACAAGTGTGAGCTCTGGGGTTAGTGGCATCAACAGTGTGCATAATCAACATCCAAGCTGAGAAAATTATAACTAGAGCAAACTTAGTGAAACCCCAGAGTGCCAAGCGACTGTCTCAGTCACAGTGATGAGACGGAAAATATGGAGATTGCTTGGTTCTTGGATAGAGATGCAGAATCAAAGCAACATGCTTCTGTGTCATCTGGTGATTATGAAGATAGCCAAGACTATTTGATGACATAAAAGAAAAAGGTGGTGACAGTCCTGAAGTGAACATTTATTTGCTAGTCCAGAATGGTTTGTGAGATTTAAGATACGGAACATCCTACATACCTATCATTTTGCTTTTCCTTTAAATAACATTAGTACTTCTACTTTTCCTTGAACTTTTTCTCAAGAGTAACAGTACTTTTACTTAAGTAACTGTTTCCAATACAGGTGTGTTCACCACTGAATACATCTAAGTTTATACTATGGGGTTACAGGAAAAATATTTTTGGGCGAGAGCACATCTCAGCTTTTAACATGAGATCCCATGGAAAGCAGGAATTTATATAATGAGCACTTTTCAAGAACTCTTATGATTCAATAAGTGGGACCTTACTGTATCTTGGCTCATGTCACAGTTCCTTTGCACAAGCAGTTACCTGCCCTACCAGATGTGCAGAACATGCTTCCTGTCATCCAGAGACCAACCAATTTAAAGATTTCAGTTTCTCAAGTTTTCTTTATTTTTTACAATATATAAGGTAATTTTCAAGTCTTGTTTTGTACAGGGGCCCTCGAAATTCGAGGGGGGTTAGGTTCTCAAAATGGCCACGAATCGCCAAATCCGCAAATAACATTGCGGACCTGGAGGGGGTTACATTTTTATTTGTGTACAAAGAAATGTATATTCACTTTATGTGTTTGCCCTTAGGACAATTATTTATTTTACCTGTATTATATATATTGTATGTGTATGTGTGTGTGTGTGTAGACACACACACATACAAATAAATAATACAATGGGAAAACACTCACAAATAATCATTAACAAATTTATTAAAAATTTGATAGTTCCACCCTCAAGTCTGCGCTTTATTACTTTATTAAAAAAGCACGGACTTGAGGGTAGACTCACATTTTTAATAAATTTGTTTCTGATTATTTGTGTGAGTGTTTTCCCATTATTATTTATTTGTATGCATTTTGTGTGTGTGTCTACACACACATATATTTACAATATAGGTAAAGGAAATTACTGTCTCTATAACGAATGGCTCCCTGTCCCCGCAAAAATGTCGGTAACTTTAAAACTACCCACAGACATTCTTGGGTATATCCAGGGTGTCATCCACGAATAATAGAGGACCGCGAAATAAAAATCCACGAACTTGGGGGGACCCCCGTAATATATTTTACATATTCTGTTACTAAATCAAATAAAGTAACCTTCTCATGTCTGAGGGTTGGTGACTTTATCCTCCATTCCAAACATTATTCTTTTAATATTTTATTAAAATAGCAAAAAAAACAAAAAACAAAAAAACAATGTCTTTAATTTAACTTTATAAGGTTTTACTTCACAGTGGAGTATATATAATTATTTGTAGCTGCATGAATCTGAGTTACTTAACCTCTCAAATCCACTAGTACAGTAAAGTTGCTCCCACAATTCTAAGAGCATTTAGATAAATGAGAAGGGTCCATAAAATATCTAATACAGTATATAACTTGGAACATGAAAGAGATTATAATTCACTATTTTGTTTAGCCTCAGAATTTTCCTAAGCAATGAATGTAAAAGAACTTAAAACTACAAATAGGTTAAACTTTGGTGCAATATATTACCAAAAAGTATTGGATCCCAAAAACAGAAAATTTTTCCTCATTTTTTTTTTATGAAGACTGATGTATTATTTGGAGATAATTGAAAGCTAATATATCACTGAGGTAAAATTTGAGTAACAATTTATGACTCACATTGTCCAGGGTGCTGGCCTCAGCAGCATGAAGGGTCTCAATGCAAATAACAAAGTTTTTCTTCATATAGCCAGGGTTCTGTCATGCAGTTGAAGGAAAATATATTATTTTACAAAGAGAAAAAAAGAAGATAAAAGCAGAGATTTGAAGGCTATGAGGTCCAGGAAGTGCAGTTGTTCCTCTGTTGAACCAATGCAAAGTAAGTTATACTCTAAGCTGAGTATCAGTGAGTAGCATTTTAAATGTACTTTCCAAGTTTGTGCCCAGAGAGTAACAGCCAACACAATAAGCAATGGACTCTCAATCAAAAATTATAAATGGAAATTTTTACAATTAAACACTAAAAAACAAATGTAGAGTCGGCTGCACTTATACCTGGTACAGTGGCTAGTGCATTTTAACCCTTTCGCTGCGGCTGTATCGTATACAATCATGTGGTTTAAAATTGGCATGCGCACCCTGACGAGCAAAAATGCGACTGCATTATATGTTAAGTACTTTTCTACCAAATTGAAATATGTATAGTTGAACTCGGCAAAAAAAAATAAAAAATCATTATATGTACTGTACTTGAATAATAGAAATATTTATTTCTTATCTTTCGAAAATGTCTGCACAGGATATCCGGCTTAATTCATGATGTCGTAGTGAAAGGTTTAAGAGATGTGGTAACTCTGTTTTTCTTTACATCGTATTAAAACTCCCAGAATGGCCCTAACGAATGTCACAATAGTAGCCAGACTAAGGAAAACTAGATAAGATTTCACAGAATTGCCACAACTCACAAAATGTGCCATCCACTGTACCAGGTATGAATGCAGGTTACTGAACATACTGTAGTTTATCTTGTATATGAAAGTTGGCACAATACAATTTTTTTAAATGTAAGTAAAGAAAGAAGTCATAGTGTGTAAATGCCTAAGAATTCAGTGGCAAACCAACTTTGAACCCCTGAACTTAACAAATACAAAATTATCTTTTGTAAATGTTTAATTTGGCATCACATTGATCTTTAGGTCAACTGACAAACTGTATTATGAATGTTACACACCATTTTTCAAAGGCAGTATCATGCAAACTTTGAACCCAAGACTGACCCCCTGAATCAGAGTGAAAGCAGATGCTGGGGTAGTATGTGTAGTATCTCTTCCTTTCCTTCACTGAGGTGAGTTAAAAAGGACTTTATAATATGAAAGTAATGCTTTGAAGCCAACCTGTCAAATACATATGTAATTTAAGTGTTTGTAAAATAAGAATTGAAAGAAAAAAGAAAGAAATGGAGTCCATTATGCTAAAGCAATCAAATTACTGAATATGAAGTACAGTACTTTATAACAATTCTTTTAATACATCAGCAAATATCAACTGCACTTAAAACTAGCAGCTCTTTTCCACAGGGTACAATTACTGAGTTGAGAATCTACAGTGGCTGTGGCTGTCTGGCTAAAACAACCTACAATCAAAGAACAAAACTTTAGCATACTGAATGGACATGTTGTCAAATGTTAACAGAACTTTGGTATGCTTCACACACATAACATATCTGACAAAACAGCTTGGTAAAAAAAAAAGCTTATAAAACTCTAGCAAAAAAAACAATTGATTAAGCATATGAGCATTGAAAAAAAAAATCTTCACTAAGTCTAGAATTAAATACGTAGTGAAGACTTTGTAGGGAAAGGAATTGTGTGAATTGTCCTTACCAGAAGAAAGCAAAAATTTACACAAAATTGTACAATTGATCATCAAATTCCATTTTCCAGCAAAAACAATAATCAGGTGGCTTTCCTTACACTTCAGTATTTACTTGATTGAGGGGCCAAGTCATTTGGCCTAAACCATATTAAAGCAACCCAGATCCATATATTAATACATTTTCAATAAAACAATTGCCTAACCTTCTTTGTTACAGTGACTATCCTCCTACAAAATGGTTAGGTGTAAAGGTTGCTTTTTAGAGATAAAAAGCCTTTTAGAGCTACATCTGCTTAACCAACACACATCCCCAAAGCCAGCCAGTGACGGCTATTTTACTCCATGTCAATCCATAATTTTGAGTTTTGAGGTCAGTTCCAGCTGAATAAAGATGAACCCAAGGAAACAGAGGGTATCTAAGCCACCTGGCTAGAGGCCAGATATTTAGATGGCCCATCCCTCATAACTATCTTCAAGAGTGAAGTGCTTCCCCATCTGGAGTACTGTCACCCTGTATGGTCCCCGAGATATGCTAGGGACTGTCAGTTGGTTGAAAATGTTCAATGGATTGAAGAAGCCGCAAGTCCAGAAAACTGTGAGGGCAAACTTTTTCGGAGTGCGAGTTGTGAACTCTTGGAACAATCTACCAGAAAGTGTTGTGGCAGCACCGAGTGTGAGCTCTTTCAAGACAAGACTTGACCAACACTGGAGCAGGTTCAGGTACATTCAGGAGCCGGTGCATGCCCAGTACTTGCCAACAGTGCGTAACAGAGACGTGACCGATCGCCCAAGCGGCTAACGAGTCGATCATTTGGTGAAGAGGATAAAAGAAAAGGAAAAGTAACAGAGATGTGACTGATCACCCAAGCGGCTAACGAGCCAATCGGTAAAGAGGATAAAAGTAAGTAAAAGTAATAGACTAAAAGCCATCTCTTAATCAAGAAACTGAAAATGGCTTCATTCTGAATCTCTTTAAGAAACGTAACATGAGACAGAAAGGTCAATGGAAGCTCCTAAAGAACCACTACTAGGAGAAGGATAAGGCTAACCCAGACTCATGAAAGTATTGTATGAAAGGTAAATAAACTTTATAAGATAACCTTAATACAGGAATGGTATTACATACGTGGTATCTAAAACTGTGGTAGTTCCTACCAAATATTCTAGAAGTATTACAAAGAAACTTAACACTCGTATTTCGTTGAAATAGCTAAGAGAGGGCCAATTGCATGTCTAAGCTCTACAGCAGTCAACCAGGAACTGGATTGACCTGGAATAAGACAGCAGGCCTGGCTGTATGTATGTATGTGTGTGTGTGTGTGTGTGTGTGTGTGTGTGTGCTGGTTAGACCAACACAATTCTAAAACACCTGCCTCTAGACTCTAGAGGGTAACTCTTGCTTCTGATATCCCTTATTTAAGGAAAATGGTTATGACCATGAAGGTTGGTGAATTTTTATCTTACAGAGCTTAATAAATCAATTCAAGCTGCCATAATAAGATGAAGATTTAATAACCAATGCATGCAGTTAGGTAAGTGCTGTCATTGGAGCCACCCGATTACAGGATGCATGCTAAAAAATGATGAACCAATATGACATCAAAATTACATCATTGAATACTAAAATTTATTCAGCCAAATTGGTTAACAGAATATATTCCTTTCCTGGAAAGAGGGCAACATTAAGTGTATCTGCACTACTGCAGGCCTGGAAATTCATTAATAGGATACAACAGCCTAAACAGGAAATCACATAACAGCCAAGCAGAAGACAATGACACACTGTGGTTGCTATGAAATTCCAAGCCTGCTAATACTGTATTATTGTGGTCACAAGCAACAAGAGGAGCCAAATCATGCTTGACTCAAGCGCTGTGCCACTCACATTCTCCAACTCCCCATCATCAGGTGCATGTAGTGTCTCTATTGTTATATAAAATCCCTCCTTCATGTAGCCTGGGTTCTGAAAGGCAACTTATTAGACAAGAAGACTAATTCATACAATATGTAAAATAAAATCATACAGATAAGATAGGGAATAATTGTGCTAAAACTTAATGTTTCTTGATCTATATCTGGAAAATGTAGTTTCTGTTGCATAAAATGTTTAAGTCTATTAGTGGATTTATCAGAAGATTAATAAATGAGTCAGAGTGGGCTTAAACTTCAGAATATCAATATAGCTTTTTAAAGCTAAATTTCACATGTATTTTGGCTAACCCTACAAGAATACTGTATGTCCCTGTACAAGAAAATATGTTATCACCTACAAATGAAAACAATAGCTAACGAGTCCAGGGTCAGTTTGCTTCTCCTGTATATAGCTGACCATTTTCCATGGCCATTGAGCCAGCTCCTCATTTCAAATACAAAATATTAAAATGTGTGTGACCCCTGACAACTAACACACAATTAAAAAAAATAAAAATAAAAAAGAAGTCAAACTACGTGTTTGTGTCTGAATCCTGTGACAACTTGCAGCACTCATCAGCAACAATGGATATGGCAGTAATATTATCTAACTCTGCTTGGTCATTAGTCTGATTTTGTGCTTATGGAGTTGAATTCTAGATCTATAACAAATGTGCAATGTACCTGTATACAGAAAACTGCAAAATAGACTGAACATACCGAGATGATGGTTCTACAGTAAGGGTAAGCATTCCAAGCTTCTTCATGAATCTCAAGTGAGCCCTCTGGTGCTAAGAGACGGATGAAGGACGGTACTTTGCTGAAGATAACAATCATGGATAAGACTGATGTTAACATTAGCTACATAAAGCACATCATACTCTTTTGAGCAATATTGGACTATTCATATAAAATTATATGAAGGATCATTCCATGCGCCAAATTGTTAAAAATTAAATTAACTCGACTTTAACTCATATTTGCTTAATTTTTCTCAAAACTGCAACATCCAACACTCATCATCACCAATTTACAGCCATTTTCCACACTAACTATTGCACAAAAATATACCTAGACAGGTATCCCCGATCTATGATATTTCGCTTTAACGATGCTGATGTTTTAAGACCACTTCTCATTTTTACTTGTGTACAAAGAAATGTACATTCCCTTTATGTACGTATTTGCCCCTAGAACAATAATTTTTTACCTGTATTGTATATATGTGTAGACAGACACAGACACAAAAAACACATACAAATTAATAATAATGGGAAAATTCTCTCAAATAATCAGAAAAAATTTTCTTAAAAATATTGAGTCTACCCTCAAGTCCACTCCGTACTTTGTTATTAATAAAGCACGGAGTGGACTTGAGGGTAGACTCAACATTTCTAATAAATTTCTTTCTGATTATTTGCAAGAGAATTTTTCCCACTATTATATATTTGTGTGTGTGTGTGTGTGTGTGTGTGTGTGTGTGTGTGTGTGTGTGTACATATACACACACACACACACACGTAAAATACAGGTAAAGGAAATTACTGCCTCCAGAACGAATGGCTCCCGGTCCCAGCCGCGAAAATGCCGGCAACTTTAAAACTACCCACAGACATACTTGGGTATATCCAGGGTGTCATCCGTAAATATTAGAGGACAGCAAAATAAAAAACCGCAAATTATCCGGGCGTACTGTATACTTTTTTTTTAGTGTTACATGCATACACAATCGTTAATACAGAATGCACAAAAATAAAAAAATAATTATCATAAGGTCAAAAACAAGGGGAATAAACATTTCTTATGTGCACTAGTTAGCCCTCAAAGCAGGGAAAGGGGGGAGAAGCATGGGAAATCTCTCTGCTGTTCGGTCCTGTAAAATGATTGCCAAATGGCAACACATTATTTTGTATTTAATTTATTATTATTATACATTCTCACTCTGTTTTTGTGACTGTGAAAAATGCAGTGTAACTTTGAAAATGTCTGTCAAGCTGTTGCTGAAGACTTCTGCATCTGGGAAGGCCAAGGCACTCTGGAAAACAGTGTCTCTGGAGCTGAAGCTTGACATTGTGAAGTGGTCAGACTTGTTCTCAATGATGTGTTGAGTGTTGTTTATATAACTGTTTTCTATTAATTTTATTAGTGTAAAATGTTTTTTCGGTGATACATGCTATAATGAACTCGATTTACAATAGTATTTGAATTTGCGATGGGATTTTCAAGAACCTAACCTCATTGTAAACTGGGGGATACCTGTATATACATATGTTTATTTTCATTATTTTGGTAGCCTTCCTAACATACAGTACCTCAGCATCAAGTACTATTCCTCCAAATCCTGTGATCTCAACCGTGCTAGATAATAGTACAATGTTGGGTGGATGGAAACAAGAGTAACACAAACACTTATTCACATACTGTATTCATTTATTCACGAATAGAATTATCAATAATTACTAAATGAACTGTCTCATTACCTTTTCAGGTGGTAGATCTTATAGGTATACTGCCCTTTGCAGTACTTTTCCCCCAGTAGTGGGTGGTTGTCAAATGGTTCATTTTTAAGGACCTCAATACCTTCCCCTCCTCCAGTTTCATTTTTACTTGCTTCTGCAACACTGTACAGCTGTGCCACTTGGTACTGTAAATAAAATTGTAATTATCATCTTTACTCTTCACCCACTTCTGTGTGGCATAAATTAATGGGATTGAAAATTTAATGAATGGGAGGAAATATTAGAGAGGGATTCTAGAATAAGGTAAAAAGTGACAAAGCATGGCTAAGACATTATCAATTATGTACCGGTATCATTAGAATATGTTCACTGGCAATACAGCACTGTACAGTAATAACAACACTGTATGTATTGTAATAGTAATACTAAAAAAATACAGTAATACAAATAATAAAGGACACATTAATGGCAATTTCTTTTTTTAAGTGTATTAATCTACTGTACTAAGTATTGTATTAAGAACAATCATACATGTCTAGGGCAAGAGTATCCAGTAGTATGTACTGTAATATATTATTTTATATATTATATTATTATGTAATAACAAAAACTGAGATGCCAATTGGCTGTATTCCTGCCAAGGTGAGGAAATTCTACACACTGTCATAAGAGAGAGGTTTGGCTAGATATCGTACAATAAATAATTTATTATCATATTACAAGTGTACTGAAAATAGGTAACTGCATTTGCCAGGAGCAAGTAATAAACGTAACATTATCAGTGAGACAAGCAGTAAATACTTGATCCTTTGGAATTGATGCATCAACAACACTTTATCCTGCCAATGTGATGACTAGAACCCAAAAGTTTAGGCACTTAATATTTTTAAAAGGGTAGGTAAATAGGCAACACATACAGCTGAAACAGGCAGGAAAGTAAAAAAGGTTATAATTATTTTACTACAACAATACCGTAATTATACAGTACCTGTACAAAAAATTATGCATAATATTACAACACTACTGTATTAGTAAAAGAAATGATAGGTAACCAATATATTTTGGGGGTAAAAATAGAAATTTTTTCATTAATTTCCACAGCTGAAACTGTTTCTTCTCAAGAGTGAAAATGTGGTAAAAAATAAAAAATACTGGGGTCCACATATTTTTTCCATAATATAGCCTCACTTGGTACAGTCTCGTTAGAGATTCTTCGAACACTGCTGGAGACAGCTGGCAACTCAAGGCCGTTTGTTTAATATAGTATGTAATATAATATAATACGAAACAACACAGCCCAACCATTAATTAAGCAACAGGGAACTAAGTAACCAATCACCGATAACCTTTTACAGTGGTCCCTCGATTAACGAACACAATTCGTTCCACAGAGTCGTTCGTTAACTGAAAATTTCGTTAACCGAATCCATTGTTTCAATGAGATATTGGGTAATTGGTTCCAGCTCACAGAAAAGTACATACAGTACAATGTAAAAAAAAAAAGCAGGAAAGTACATTTACTTTGAGGTGTGTATGTAGAAGGTTCCTGGTTGATGATGATGATGATGATTGGAATTAGAAGTGGGAGTGGAGGAGAAGGGAGAAGAGAAGGGAGAAGAGAAGGAAGTGGGGATGGAGGAGAAATCACCTTTCAGGGGACCCATGCTTGATGCAGTAATTTCACTAATAAATTTTTAAGTTCACTAGGTGTAATTCAAGATTAATTTATTTAAATCAACAGTGCACTATATATTATCAATAAGTTATCTAAATTTCAGAATGGCCAATAATTTTAATGTAAAAATGCAAAAATATTCAAGACACCAACAAAATCGATGTTCACTCCACTGTTAACAAAGCCAGACTAACGCCTGGTGGCTGAGTCAAGCGGCTGATGGGCGCACAAAAAACTAGTTCCCTGTACTGCATATATTATCAATATGTTAACTAAATTTTAAAATGACTAATAATTTTAATATAAAAAATGAAAAAAATATCAAAGAGCATAACTGAAACGAATGTAAACAGAACAGATTACTGAATTGGCAGACTAGCCCATCAGCTGATGCTCAGAACAAAACGTGTTTTTTGTAAAGAGTTCATTAACCTAAGTTTTGTTCGTTAACCGAATTGAAGATCCTTGTGGGAAGTAATTCGTTAACCGAAATTTCATTAATCGAACTGTTCGTTAACCGATGGACCACTGTACATTCATTCATAATTTTTACTAAGTACTATAGTAAACAAATGGCCTTGAGTTGCCAGACACTTTACATTTTTAGAGGAATGTTGACATTAACAAATATACCTTGCACAGGTCCAATGAAAACTGAAATTGCTGACCAGAAGCTGTAGTACTGTACAGTATATGAAGTAAGAAGGCATGTATGCTCTGTTGTTGAGTTTTCCAAGCAGCATCAGCTTTATGGTTAAGAGTCTCTTAATTTTGAGAAACAAAGTCCCTGTACTTTAACTTCATGTAGTTCACCGATTTTTGCACATTTTGCAAAATAATACTGCTCCATTTGTAGAGAACACACTGCTACCAAACTCTTTAATCAAATTGCTAAGTTTTGAAGTGAAATGTGTTCAACTGTGTTGGAAAGAGAACTGAGTGACTCAAACCGTACATCCCAGGCAGTGGAGGATATATTCACACTCGCTGTACCTATCATACACATGCGTCCATTACCCATCAGAATAATGCAGAATGAAATATTCAGTTTGAACATTAAGTAATCTGCTTCGTGGAAACGGTCAGGATATTTTCTTTTCTTGAAAGGCCAGTAAATTTTTTTCAGAGCAGAATGATAACAAATCAATGAAAATAAGAAAAAATGGCATATTAAAAAAACAAGCAATTTTATTACAAAAGTTGGCACTTAATGTATAGCATTTTGGTTGAACATCTGGGCTCTGGTGATTAGCTTAACAAAATTGAATTAAAACACTTATATACAGTAATGGGGTGTCAAGAGGCCTAGAACCCCCATCAGTTGCATGTTATAAGAGAGCCACCATGCAAAAAGAGCTAATGCCAGAAAGAATACCAAAAAGAGATACATAAGCTATTGTACACACCTCGTCAACTGTGAGTGGTAGGATGACTCGACTGAAATACAAAATATAAAATTGAAAATACAGTAAACATTATGAAGTTCAGAAAGTTACATAACATGATTAACTTTACAAAAACAAATACATGTAAGGTCCACACCTATAAAATTTCAAACATTGAACATTCTTTGTAACTGAAGACATAAGAATGCACCTTATTGGATGAATAAGCTGAAGTATGAAAATAACATCTAGAATAACAGTGTTCACTTGGCAGCAATTAGGAGAAAAAATTATGGTATACAGGAAGTGCCTTAATCTTGTCTGGTGCTATGTAAAATGCCTGCATCTAGATTTTCAATGCTCACTTTTCAAGATTACCTGGTAATTTTGAATACCATTAGTAGCTAACATGTTAAATTATGGAGGTGTGGGGAAAGGCCAGTGATTTTCTGGATTCTGAATACTACAATAGCTATGGTATCAAAGCATGTAACAAGCCTACTAAACCCTGAACTAGATGCAGAATTAACAAAACCTGAAATTTATGATAACTAACTGTCTGGTAAAGCATTGCAATATTGTAGCTACAATTACAGTATTTTTATCCACATACAATATGCATACAAAAATAATCCTTACTCTTGTTAACATCAATGTAGTACAGTGCATACTGAAGAACTTAGGGGGATTGAAATGAGTCACACAGTATTGGAATTGAATGATCATTACAAAATAGTAAGTACAGTACAGTTCAGATGTGGATAGTAAGAGGGAAAAGAGAAGACCAAGGAGATAGAAGAATGGGATAAAGGAGGCTATAAAAGTAAAGGAGTTGGTCATCCAGGACGCAGCAGATGTGGAAGGAGAGCATGGGAAGGAAATGCTGCTGGTGAGTGGTGCTAGCTGATAACTCGAGACAATGAAGATGGCAAAATGGGGCTGAGAAAAATAACCGTTTTTCATATATGAATCTGCATCAATATGAGTTAATATATATTAGCACAAACTTTCATGCATAAGTTCATGTGTGGTATCCCCCCCCCCCCAACTTCTTAAACTGCCAAAACAGGTTTAATCACATATCAACCAAGGTGTCTTGTGAAGATATTTTTTTAGGTAGTTGGTTAACCTGGTCCCTCTCCTACAAGAAACAAGGTCTGTGCTAGCATGTGACTTTAAATCCATTAAAGGTTCTCTTCCTTCATTTAGGACATGAAATAAATCACCTGAAGAATCTTCACCCACGCTTAATTCACCTAAATATTAACCACCCTAAGCCAACGTAACCTGATCCCCCAAAACAGTTTTAGTGGTTAATTTTTAGGTGAAATAAGCGTGGGTGGAGATTCTTCAAGTGATCAAATGAACCACACCAGTCTGGCTGACCTGAGCTACAACATGTTAGCCACTACCTCTACATCTTCCAGTGGGGTGTGCCCATTTCGTCACCACTGGTTTTACCTGTTTCGTCACCGCGTTTATTCCCATCACCATTTCAAGGGCAATATATTCCAGAAAATTATTACATAATTAATACCTTCAATATATACACGAAAATTTCACTAAATTTGCCAAAATATCGGTTGCTTGGGATATAAAATAATCAAAACACCTAGTTTACAAAGTTGTATTACGAAATTATGCCTCGGTATAACAATGCATCGGATCATGCATCTCATTAAGACAATTTATTAAAGATGAAAATAAAAATAATTGTTTATTACTTATGCAAGCATCTCACTTAAACAATTTATTAAAGACTAAAATGAAACAAAAATAAAAATATTGTTAACATGCCTGCAATCATCTCACTTAAACAATATGTGAAAGACTAAAAATAAATAAATAAAAATAAAAATTAAAAACATTGTTATTACTCATGCAAGCTTGGAAGACGACACGACTTTTTTTTTAAGAAATTAGAAGTGGTGATATATTTTTCTACATATTCATCCCACAGCTTCCAGAGATGGACTTGTTTGTCATGATTTGCTTTTCTTGTGCACGATTTTAGCTCGTGCTCAGCAACTAGTTGTAATTGCAAATCAACCAAGGTGGTGAAGAAGACGAAACCACCTTCATTTGTTCTGTATTTTGTTTATTTACCAATGTTTTAATTGTTTTCTTGATTAATTAATTAATATTCATATATAATAATAACACAATAATTCTCGAGCCGTCTGTATACGTGTAATTTCTATTCGTGTAAAATAATAACTTACAATTTATCACTCTAATACCAGCGACTAACGGTCTGTTAGTGGTGACGAAACAGATTTGATATTGGTGACAAAGTGGGTTTTTTGATGACGAATAGTGTATCCGTTCCAGCAAATCAAAACAAACTTTGTACTATACTATGTCAGAATTTTTTTTAATTTCCGAAGGGATGGACCACTAAACACTGCCAAACTTAGGGTTTTGTGTGATTATTACTGACTGCAGAACAAAAAAATTCCAGGTCTCTACCACTGGATTAAGAGTGAATATTGTATAGTAAAATCAATAATCTTAATAAGTTTCATGACAATATTCAGTCCTGAATGTTGGGTGTAAATGGGACTGCCAGGGGTTGGGTGTAAATGGGACTGCCAGAGGTTGGGTGTAAATGGGACTGCCAGGGGTTGGATGTAAATGGGACTGCCAGGGGTTGGGTGTAAATGGGACTGCCAGGGGTTGGGTGTAAATGGGACTGCCAGGGGGTGGGTGTAAATGGGACTGCCAAGAATTGGGTGTAAATAGGACTGCCAGGGGGTGGGTGTAAATGGGACTGCCAGGGGTTGGGTGTAAATGGGACTGCCCAGTATGGGCCAATAGGCCTGTTGCAGTTTCCTCCATTCTTATGTTCCCTGTCTTCAACACAACCCAGGTTTTGTGATGAACTTTATTTTGTTTCAAGTGTTATCAAGAACACAATAATTAATTACAACACTACCAAACCAAGTAACAAATGACCTATAAACAAAAATCCCCCCAACCACCAGCTTAGTGGCCCAGTGTTGTACTTTACCCCACACACCATAAGATGTAACCACTAAATAAATCTTATCCTGGTTTTCAAAAAGAAAATAAGAAGAGCCGCCACTTTGACCACCGATGTTAAATAAGCTTGAAAATAAGTAGGTCAAATACGAGTGTCAGCCTTGACCTACTCATGACAGCTGTCAGTAGATATGACCGTCCACCACTGCAGTACTCCCTTTAAAATCCTTCTTCAAAATTCAAACTATTCATTAACATTAAACTCCATTAATTAATATTTACGAGGAGAAATTTGAAGGATATTATATAAATAATACCGCCAGGAAGAAACAATGTGGTTACTCTGGGTTACCACATAAACAACCACAATCAATAACCCTTGGTTCTTATAATAAAGGTTGTAGTTACGCCGTCTAATATAATTATAATTACAATAAAATATTCAATGTCAAATTGTCAGTTATAGCGACTTAACTTACAATTCCTTGACGAGCATCGTGACCTATACTATGACATGAGCTGGAGTGGACTGACACACACACACACACACCCGGATGAAGTGACAAGTGAACAACGCCGCACACACACACACACACACACAGTCTAAATAATGTTAGAAAGGTAATACGAACGTAGTCACTTAATCATTCATATTTCATGTATCGCTAAGTAACCAACACTAACATTACTTAAAATTAATTATAAAATTAGATTAGTTCTTGTTTGGCTAGCTATGTTTGCATTTAAGTAATTTAAATATAAAAACAACAAATTAGGAATTATTATTCGTGACATATTTTCAACATTATGAATTTATACTTTAACATTAATTAACAACTAAAAAAAATATTTACTGAAGTTTTTTTATTTCTGTGAGTCTTTTTTTGTTTTTAAATATTATTATATACTGTTGCTCAGATAAAATAAGTTATATACAAATAAATATATATACAGGTATATATATATATATATATTTATATATATATATATATATATATATATATATATATATATATATATATATATATATATATATATATATATATATATATATAATAATATGCAAGTAAATCACTGTAGGTGCGTGATCTAGCGCTTGGGAACTTCGTGTTTTTTTTTTCCTTGTTTAATATATATAATATATATATATATATATATATATATATATATATATATATATATATATATATATATATATATATATATATATATATATATTCTGATAACCACAAGGAATAGCAGCAACCTCTGTCGGTCACCTTGTAGTGGATACCTAATCTTCAACTACTACTGCCGTTTGTCGCTGACTAGCCGACCCCTCTTCAAATTCCCCAGCTTACGCCTCATGGTTTACTAACGTCGGCAACCAGCGCCGCCTAACACAGCGGAGGTCAACTATCAAGCCACGCCTACCCCCGCTATATAAGACCTCACCCCGCCGTGACCTGCCCTTCAATTCAATTTCAATTTCAATTGTTTATTCCTTGACAGAGGAAGCGGGATCCTAGTGCTGTCACTAGGTACCCCTGTACAATAACACCAGAAGCATCTGGCAAGTGTGACAAGTATATACAGAATAAATATTATAAAGGGGCTTACTAAAGCCTAAGGAAGGAAGGATATTCCTTAAACACATAATCAATGTTATTTACATAATATCTGGCCAGTATGGGGAGGATCATCGTGTCTCCGTCAGGAGGCCGTGGAGGGGTGGTCCAGCAGGCGTCACGGAAGCGTTGTGTGTGGGGACATCTTAGGAGGTAGTGGGTAAGGGTGCGGCTGTCGGGTCTTCTGCATAATGCACAAGAGCGTTGCTCAGGGGATGCGGGGATACCAATCTCCCAAGCAAAGTCATACCCAATGATGATACGGGCAGCAATCACGTCCCCTTTCCGCGACCCTTTCCCGTAGACGTACGAGAGGTCAGGAAGTTTATGGAGGACATCGTACCAGGTGGGCGGGGAGTCCAGGGGGATGGCTGCTTCCCGAGCTTCTCTCTGTTTGTGTCGAATTTGGGTCCTAATCTGTAAAAGTGTTCGAGGAACAACGTAGTCAGGTGTGGCCTTGTTGCAGCCAATCTTGGCAAGGCCATCTGCTGCCTCATTCCCCAAGATACCGACATGACTGGGTATCCATAGGAATGTCACAGGACGGCCTGCATCCTGAAGTGTGGATGTTAACCCTCGTATTAGGAGGATGAGGTCCTTATTTTCCCCTGATCCAAATGCGATCTCGTCGAGAGCAGACCTGGAATCGCAGCAGACAAGCAAGGGGCAGAAACCATCTGCTTCTTCCTCAGCAAGAAGGGCAGCAAGGAGGGCTATTAGTTCAGCCTGAGTGGAGGATGGCCCGTCAGAAACTCTGAGAGACAGTTTGATAGGCTCAGGGGCATCAGGACGGGAGATGTAGACACCAGCCTTGGCCCGACCTGTAGCGGGGTCAACAGAACCATCAGTGTGGAGGACGACCCTACCTGGGGATCAGTGGGCTATCCTGGAGAGGTGGTATTTGTAGAGAATAACAGGGTTCACCTGGGATTTCGGGAGCGGTCCACTGAGGGCAATCACTTCAGGTTGAAAATCCAGCCAGGGAGAAGGAGACAAACCAACAGCAGGGGTGACAACAATATCAGGCAGGAGGTCGTGTTCCTGAAGGGCTCGGATGAGTGACCCTCGCCACTGTCTTGTAGATGGAGGTCGGCCTCGGACAGCAGGAGTCAAGTTGGCTTGGTCATAGTTGCCCCGAGGATCCCGTAGAATGGAAATGGCAGGTTTTAGGTAAAACTCCTGGACACAATCCTGTAAGGGGGAAAGACCAAGTTCGGTATATAGAGAAGTAGAGCGTGTCCACTGAGGAGCCCCAAGGATGATACGAGCAGCTTTCCTCTGGATAACTTCGAGACGGTTGACAGCAGTCCAACTAATGCTGACGAGGGCAGGGGCGGCGTAGTCGACACAGGAACGGACAAAGGACTTGTACATGGTGAGAAGTACAGGGATGGTGGCACCAAGGGAACCCCTGCACATGGTAGAGAGGGGAGCGAGACGCCGAAAGCATATGTCTCGAAGATAGTGGACTTCAGGGATCTGACAATGTGTGCGAGTTACATACACACCCAGGTATTTTGTCTCATTAACCCAGTCCAAGGGCGTTCCTGTGTACTGCGCACATCATTGTCATCCCTAAAAATCCCATTTAATTCATATTACGCTATATAACATTCAAATGCACCGCGCTTGTAGAACCTCAGAAAACGGGAAACATTGATAAAGGACAACTCACCTACTCAATGTTCCTAGACCATGTGTTGTATTGTACCCAGGTACAGTTATATCATATTAAGTGTATGTATTCATAGCATTAAGGATCACTCAGGGTATGCATAAGATGAATGTTAAAGTCCAGTTGAGCCGGACTAGTGTACTGTAAGACTAAGTGTGGACCAGGGTTTGAAGGTCTTACTATTTACGTCTGTGAGCGTGTAGCGAACATAACTCCAACAGATATCATATGAAAATACATGAGAACAATGATCTGGAAAAAGGATAAATGTATCAGAACTATGTGAGGTGTTGACAGTGATCCAGAAACTATACTTGAAAGGAAATATCGTGTATGCGTCGGTATGAATTTAATACACCTCGTAGCCTCACGTGACATATACCCACGACAGGTACAGTGATCAGAGAATCTTATGTCTGTGTTCAAATTGTGCAATGTGTGAGAGGAGGATCCCTCATTACAGTTTTAAGTGAAGTTGATACACCCCCGCCATGAACATTCAGCCTTTGTTTCAAGGCGTGTCATGTACCCCCCTCAGATGCCACATTGATATTATAATCCCATGAATTTACTCAAGCACTAGCAAACCAAGACCTTACCTTAGTGTGTAATTTAGGATTAAAATATGTGTTTATAAGACATGAGTGACAATATACCGAAAAGTGTTCAGGTGAGAACCATAAGAAACAAAAGTGTAAATTGAGGATTGGAAACTGTAGGCTATGTGATGAGGAGCGGCGGGGCACTGCCCTCAGTCTTCCTCGTTCTACCGTCACCTCAGGTCAGTGTCCTAGCGGGCTATATCCCGCCCTATAATTAAGGTTGATAAATAGAAGTTACTACAGTTTAAAGCTTTGCCGGATATATAAGTGTGATAGGAATGGGTTAAGGGGTGGGATAACCGCCCGTCAGGCATTATTTCTCAGTCTTCCTCGTTCTACCGTCACCTCAGGTGCCATGTGGTCGGAGTACCTTGCCGCCCGGCCGCCATTATCCCTTTGAGCGTCACAACAGGTGGTGACTACTCCCCGCTATGCCAATCCACTGTGAACCTGTGGATTTCCAGCGCACCACTCCAAATGAATAGTCACAACTAAGGAGACCGTGAGAAACTCTGCGGTCGTCACTTGGAGCGACCTATAATACCAGGCGTAGAAATAGTGCTGGTATGTCTCTAGGTGAAGCCCTCGTCTTTACCCACCGAGGGCGGTGTGCGAACGAGGTGCCTGTTGTGTATACCTAAAAGTCACAAGGAGTCACATACTTGCAGGTATGGAGTGTAACAGGTGTGTTGAGATGGTGCTACTATGTATGATAACCGACGGTACTAGATCCCATACAGGTGGAGCAGTCTGATGTGTTAAGGGATATTGTAAGAAGGAACGACTGAGGTACGGTGGTCACAGATTGGTATGCAATAAATAGGTGGATAACACGCCATCAATGTAAGAGTCTGGGGCCCATCTGGGTAACCACATTTCCGTTGTTCTTCTGAGGAAGGCCAATTCATGTATATGTTTTTTACCAGTGTGTTTGATAAGGAATAAATCAAGTAAGACATGTTATGGTTTCACCCTTCTTTACCCTTATCGATCTGGTCAATGGAAAACCTAACCCAATGCCTAGTCCACTCTGCCCGCTACCTAACGAGCTACATGCTGTCCAGAGGGGGTCTGGTGGCAGCGACCCTTAGGAATTAAGATTAGAGTTATGTTATCCCCTTAGACTTAGTGACCCCAGAATCTGGCAGTATAGCCTGGCGGTCCTCGCTCCCGCCAGCGAGCATGGTGACCCACCAGCTGTCCTTCTCTGAGCTTCCTCACCAACCAACTCTCATTCTGGCCCATCTTCCTGAACAAGCAACACCTCCTCCAGCAAGCTCCTAGCTGTTAACATTTATTCAACCAGGAGGCCAGCAACAGGCAACATCTTCTCTAACGAAGCTCCTGCACATCTACCTCCTTCAACACGCTACTCACCGAACGTCTTCTACTGAGCAGCTCCCCACCACACGGCACCTCCAGCACCAGACTGTCTTCATATAACTTATATATTATACAAGAAAACCACATTCGAGTTTCCTTCCATCCTGAGTGCTAGACAACATTAATATCTCGATACCCCTACAATATATATATATATATATATATATATATATATATATATATATATATATATATATATATATATATATATATATATATATATATATATATATATATATATATATATATATATGCTAGGGATGGGGTGCATCTGTCTAGGGATGGAGTAACAACCCTGGCTGGGACTCTCGA